GGGGTGTTTTTACTATAAATAATTCAATTCATCTTGACAATGAAGATTGAGCTCGCACCATACTGGTTTGAAAAAAAAAAAATTAACTGGAATGCTAAAACATGTGGATATTTCTGAGCCTTGAGCTGTATATTTTATGACATTTCGTTTCGTATTATTTTTCAACTTGATACTGACATGGATGATGTGCAATGTAACATGGCGAATATTATAATAAGATAATGCAAGAGAATTTTTGTTTGAACAACAATTATTTTTCCAGCTACTTGCATAACCTGTAACAATTTATAATGCTTTAGTTTGTTGGTACGTACCACAAAAGTCATAGCAAAGTGTTAAGTTATGCATTTTACTTCACTTGTCTGTCTGTCTGTCTATCTATCTGTATGTATGTCTGTGTGTTTGTTTGTTTGTTTAATATATCTGGTTTAAAAAGCTGCTTGCGCTGGATGAGGCCATAGCGCTTCGCAGGTCAAGTGGTACAGCCTCCCAGGATCAAGGGATGCCCCCTCCCAATGTCGGGGAAGAACGCGAATAATATACACAGTATAATACACCATACAAACCTTCCGATATATCAGAACAAAAGACATACAGTTAAATACAAAAAATAAATTTACTCGATTCTGTCGTGTGTCAGCTGTTCTATTTACATGTCTCGCACACTGGACAAATAATAAACAATCCCATCCCATATAATGTGAGCAGTAAACGTGCAGAATGGATGCTGACGAATTTATCGGAATGTCCCTCCATGTTATGCCAGATTTACAAGAGTAACTTATCACTTACATTTTTTTTTGAAACTTCTATTATAAAAAATATATACAAATACTACATTTCAAAATAAAAAAAGTGTTCTTCAAAACATTTGAAAGAAATTCAACTTTCACGTACATGATGGTCGCAGAGAATTCGACTGTAAATCATAGGTCATATGAACATTTTGTATACCGAGTCGCTGGCTTTGTATTTCCCATAACTACCTTTTATTTTACGCCATATACGCTGAACTACTTCACTTCAGATTTATTGACTACTTATATGCAGTTATGCTATTTTGGGAAGAATTCCTTATATATTATTCACATGTTGACAATTTAGAGACATGGAATTACGCCCATATAATTCTTCACAGTACTTGGCTAGTCCGTGGGTGTGCGTCGATAGCCGGTATGTGTCAGAGCATCAGTTCTCTAAAGTTAACTTCTGAAGTCACGTGCCTTAAGTGTCGAGATCTCCGATGAGAAACGGTTACAAACCGGGAATGAGGCAGCCAGGGACGCCACAACTTGCGTCAATGTCAACTTGACAAGAAACAAAATCTGATATTCAGGGAAACTGATTTTCCTCCTGATTCATCTTTATTCGATTATAATTCACTATTGAACCCATATAAACAAATAGTTTGAAAATAATACTGAATCATAAGACACTCACCATTGCCATCGATAGCAAAGTTGTATTTGACATGCGCATTGCCCTTATTTCATTTCCTGTGGGTATTATTACTAATGCGGTTCGGAGATTAGTTTTTGAAATCATAACACTGATGTTTTGTGATTAAAGTAAGATTTATTGAAGCGTGCATCATTATTTCAATGTCGTTCAACGTTTCGCATACAACCGTTGTATGTGCCGTACGTTTTATGTCTCAATGGCTATTTTATGAGGCGTTACCGAAACCCCCACCCGTCACAAATATGTAAGGGGTAACATGACACAAATGAATTTTAACTTTTTAACTTGAGCTGAAACTTGAGCTGTATCATTATTTTTTGCACCATACCTCATATTTATGTAATACTGAGACAAAATGAAGTTTGTGATACCAACTGAACACACACCGAGTTCAATGATATACACGTTCATACAACACCTATACAGCTGGTTTTACACGTGTAAATATCACCTAGACAGCTGGTATTATACGTGCAAACATCATCTATACAGCTGGTTGCGCATACGCAAACATCACCTAGACAGCTCGATGTGCACATGCAAACATGACCTGGACAGCTGATGTACACATGCAAACATGACCTGGACAGCTGATGTACACATGCAAACATCACCTAGACAGCTGTAAGATGATTGTGTTGGCTGTTTTTCATATATGTGTTCACCACGCAGATCATGCTTGTTGATAAATATGCATGGTCAACACGGCATCTCAGTGGTCTCTAGAAACATAACGTATCTTCTTATTCGTATCGGTTATATAATATGATGGTGTCATAAGTAAGACCCCATGCCGAGTTTAACACCACGATTTTTCATCGTGCTGAGATGGAACAGAATATGTTATATTAAATACTTGAATCATGCGAGCAACATCATTTTAGAGGTCGAAGTTGATAGGTCAAGTATTTTAATATTTTAATCATACACTTTACTGCGATGTGTCATTGCTTTTGTGGTCTTATTCCTCCGTGAAGACGGTGATATCATCAACATGCATATTCAAATAGAAATGTACATTTATTCATGTAATTTGCTGCGAACTAAAAGCCGACGTGGTACCCGTGGTCACAAGGGATGTATATATGAAGAAGGGGTCAAAGCTACAATGATGTTAGCTCATATAGTGATTACAGCGACTAATTTGTGGGAAATACGTGAATACAAATAGTTTTAACAAGCAAGTGAGAAATGTCAATAAAGGCAGGGGTCATATTGATATATTATATTATTACAAAGAGCTGGGAAACAACCACAGCCTTCAGTAGCGTACCCTAACCTGGCCACCAAAGGCTAAACTAATCGAAGGCTTTTATTGTCACGTAAAGAAGGGTCTTGGCAAATTATCGTTTAAAATAAAACAAATCTACAGTACACTACAAACAAGTTGTAGAATGTCTGGTGATGACTCAAATGACGACGTGGACTAATTCGCGAATATGCGCTGATGTGGAAGTCCCTATTGAAAATAAAATCTAGGAATTGAAAAAAAAAACAGAATGATTGTATGTCATTCTCGAACCAAATTTGGTAGGTTAGTGACAAATAAAATAATATAGTATACTGCCGCACCCGTGAAATAGTTTCCAACTCACGGAAACGTGACATTCTTTATATGTTTATTACTGTGGTTTATGAGTGTGTATGTTGTGTGCATTTCACAATAGGCATGTAACTTTAAATAACACCATCTGTCCGTTTCTGTTTCGTTTTTAGATGGGCTCATACGGCCGGATCAACAAAAATCAAATACTATGCACGAATTGTGTTTCATAGGTTTGGTTCATTTCGTGTTTTTATAGAACCTATAATCCGGGGAAATCTACCCCGTCGCAGAGTTGTTATATTTCCTAACACAAAAGCAAAATCCTCGGAAGTGAAGCGAGACTCATTGCTCGCTTTGTTATCGCTGCAACAATATACTTCAGGATCCATGTTGCAACACAATCCATGGCTGAGAACGAAACGAACACCATATACTAGTTGGATACGGTCAATAAGAGTCGCTGTTCAACTCCTTAAGTTTTTGTTCGCCCGAGAATTGATCAATGTCCACGCAATACAGAAACCTATTGACCACAGCCGGCGAACACTGTTTTGTGTAAGTTTAATATCGACTGGTTACAAAAAAACATCAATAAAACGCCATACCGAGCAGTACTGTGCCGTGAACGTGTACAGACTTCGCTAATAGTGATAATACTAGCTTAGTATAACACAAAGTTACCCCGGAGGCCTAAGGTGTTTTTAAATAAACACTATTAAACATTTCTTACCTTAAAATGTAGCCTGGTTCTGGCTTCCACAACCGCAAGTAGAAGTGTTCCTACCAATATAATAGTCTTCATTTTAATTTAGTCTGGAGTATTTACAGTGTATCTGAAACGAGCAAGCATGGATTGGTCATTGAAAGCCGCTCACTGTCAAAGTCAACGTATACACTGACACAAAGAATACAATGTATTCACGTCCGATACGTATATCACACAGTACTGAGCGCGCAAATTTGTCGTCAAAATGACTGGCCATACCTTCAAGCTTCCGTTAACGAAATTTCCAATATGGAGGTGCAGTTGTCGGTTAGGAGAGAACACTTGGGTAGGTGCCCCTTGTCCTGTAATAATTCATGTACGAAACATTACTCACTCACTCAACAGTAGACACACAGTGCGTTTGATAAGTGACGCCACTCTAACCTCTGACCTCCGAGTGGGCTGCTCTGCCACTCCCTGATTGGTTCGATGCTCAGATAAACACTTCAATCATGAGCATACACCCCGCGATATTTTAAGAGATATTTGATCAAAACATGCAAAATCAAAATATCATTAGGACATCGATTACATATAGTAATGTTTACTACATACCGAATACTAGTACATAGAAGACGTTTTAATTCGCAGTTCCTGAGAAATGCAGTCCCGTCTGGAGTTTTAATAGGCCCGCTTTGTTGACAAACGTCAGTGCGTAATTGTTAAATTTAATGGACGACTGAAGCTCAACAATACCTGAACTTTCACAGTCGGTCTGTTCTCCACCCACTCGTGGCCCCTAGTCGTGGTACTCTCGAAACGGATGTGTACACAATAAACTTTTTTGAAAATGTGCGGATTATCGCATGTTCTATTTTTGAGACCTAACTAATAAACTGCGACCAGCAGATGACATCACAGTACGACCATGACACGTATATATGGGAGCCGATAGCCGCATTCTAGACTAGGCAAAGGCACAGTGTTTAATAAGCAATGTGTTCGACCGCAAACCGCGGATTCAAATTGCGTTCATACAGTTAAAATATAATAAGAATGAAACATGTATTCTATCAAAATTAATTCGTGATGGTGACTGAACAGACATCGATATTCTAGTTAGTAAGAGTTGCAATGTAGAAGTATCATTTTTGGAATTCCGTTAATTCATGAGCTAAAATAATCTATTTTTTCCAGCTCTATGGTTATTAAATATAAAGAATCTCATTTAAAATAAGGGGAGAACATACCAGTATCTAAAATTAAACCAGAGAATCGCGGGACACCATTATTTATGTTGTTTACACTATTTATCTGTCAAGTAAGCAAAAGTAAGCAAATGTGCTGCGAGATTAGGTTTAACCGGAAGTGTCCCTTTAATTAAGGGTGCTTTGAGCGTGCGCATTGTACTCAATTGAAATTCCGCAATGAACACAAGGAATGTGTTAATAGTAGATTTAATTGAATCAATTCATCGTGTAATTAGTTGGACAAAGTCTAAGCAAATGAATTCACAAAATCTAAAAGACTGCGCAAAGAATCCCAATCATTTTACTCATTGTGATAGTATTACATGTGCACCGCTTGACGTCTGATGCCCTCAACCAGCAGTTGATGGCGCACTATAAGATTGTGGTGTCATGGCGATAGACAATTTATTGGTACAAATTTGTTATTGTGCGTCGCACGCCGCGGTTGTTAAACAAATGTATACGCCCATCGCGACCTGGCCAGCAATTATGGTCATGAATTCAACCGGCCCACTCAATAAAACTAGGTAAATACTGGCATGTGTGT